ATGCAAATAGAGTCAAGAAAACAGAACTGCCCAAAGCCCACAGATTTGCTGGCGTTCATTTTAGTGAAAACTATTGATGGTAAGTCTCAAAAGTCTGTTAGAACAGATATATGAAGCATGAAGGGGGTTTTGTTTGATTGTTTTGTTTTTGGGTTTGTTTTTGGGTTTTTTATTTATAACCCTATCTTGAGCCTGACAGAAAATGGTTAGTTCTAAAGTTTTGATTACATACCCCACAAAAATTTTATTTAAAATGACCATAATTCAGAATTTTTCAGATCCTGCTGTGACTGCTGAAGGGTCACATAAAATTTGTTTCTGTAAGCAGAGCAACATGCAACTCAGAAATTCATTTTCACTGAATATTTTTACATTCAGGTAAAGCTTCCTCCCACACTGAAAGCACACTTCACAAGCCTGGCCCCAGCAAACTCATTTACAAAAAGATGCAAATCGGTATTTCAAATGCGGATGGTGCCTGCAGTATACGCAGGTTTGACTGTCAGAAGGTGGATATTCCTTGTTTACTGATAAATTCAAATCTGTTCACCCAGGAAAGCTTTAAAGCCTTGGTGACAAGGAGAAAGCCCTGAATGCTCAGGCTGGGAGCTGCTGGCAATTCACAGGCAGCTGGAGGGGGGCTCTGCACCTTTACCAGTGTGACCCCCTCGGCTGGGACAGGGTGAATGGTGTGGGAAGAACAGGACCAAGAACTCCAGCAAGATGAGAGGGGAGTGCTGCCAGGAGGAACCAGCCATTGTGAAGGGGGGCTAAGAGGCAAAAGGGGATGAAAGTCATGATGAAATGATTCTTTAGCTATTTCTTTTAAGTAATGGCTAGATTTGATTTTTTTTTTTTTTTCCTCCGTAGAAGATCCCAGCTCACTCTGGCCCATCAGATAACAATTGCTGACAGGCATCCAGAATTAATAGGCAATTTGAAGCTACTTCTGGCTCTTGTGAGCATTTCTGTTGGTCCTGTGTAATGGTTGCACATCTCAACAGCAATTCCCTATGATGTGCCAGGCTTCTTCTGGCATCTTTAGTCACCAGCTAGGAGCTGCATTGCATAAAACTAACAGATTCCTGTTTGTACACTGTTTTCTGTGTTTCTACAGCTCTCCTGCTTTTGGGGGTCCGTGGATTCTGTTTCTCCTGTAAGCAGCATGTCACAGGCTGCAGCAGTTGTAGCAGCTCCAGAGTGTTTGATTTCCCTGCAATCCCTGTGCCACAGGAGAAGAGCTGTTTGGGTTGTACAGGCACTGCTAGTAGTAGGAGAGGATTTAATCACCCCATCTTTCTGTAAGATCACACTCAGCAAATACTCTGCCACTTTATTTTATATTTTCCCCCTGCCTTCTTCCAGGAGGTCTCCATTGCCCATAATGCCAACACACCATGATTTAGCCTTGCCCCAGTGAAGTTCATTCTGGGGGAAGGAAGTAGGCCCTTAGTTAGGGATGAGGAACTCCTCCTTCCTCCAGCCTATTTAAGTCAATACAATTCCTCTAACTGAAAGTCCTCCCTGATTTCATATTATAAATGAGGTGTTCCTTGGAGCTATGGCAAGAGATTTGTGGCAGTACTAATGCAAAATTTAATTTCCTGGTATTCAGTCTCAAACAATTGATAAAGCTGGTTATTCAGGAGCCATTCAAAAGTCCTGAGCTGTAAATGTATTTATTAGCTCCACTGTGCTTACAGCAGCCCAAGAATTTCACTATGTGGATTTTTTGTCTGTTTTGCATTAGCATATGAGCACAGATTACAGGGACTAGAACAATATTGGTGTTAAAAATTGCCTTTCACAAAAATACAGCTGAATGCTAAATGTGTTTAAAATGGGGAGGAAAAAGCAGGTTCTTTTATTTCAGTCATAAATACATACTTAGTGAAATATATTATAAATGGGGAAAAATACATATACTGGATGTAGGACACCTGTAAGATTAATCTGAGGACAGAGGTGAGAGGGATTTTTATCATACAAATGTCATTCTGTGCCTTTTACTGAAGCTGTTGTGGTATCAAAGTGATGACTTGATGTCCTGTTTTCTAGCACAAGGTAACTGTGATCACATCTTCCTCCTTGAACATCCATAGCAGAGGCAGGCTGGGGAAACTCCAGGGAGGCTTAGGAAGTCTTGGGAACAAGGAACTGCACAAAGGCACTCACTGTGCACGTTTGAGTTTCGGGTAGATGTGTGAAGGTTGCCTGGGTGGGAGCATGGATGAAATAGGGCATTAGGTGTGCAGAAATCCAGCAGGACATGAAGAACTCTGAGATAGCAAGAGCAGCCAGCCCGAGGTACTTCTGCTAAATTGAAACAATCCTTGAAGGCTTCACAAGTGTTTGAACTTCAAAGGCAAATCACAAAGTGTGTCTGAGGTTAGATGACACCCTGCCTGTGAACCAGCACTAGCATACAACTCCTCTGGCCTTAGGTTGTGTACATGTGCAGAGTTCATCTTTCCTTTCCATTTTTTGCTGCTCTCTATCTGCTTAACTTTTTTGCTTGTGTCACCCATCTCAAGAGACTGAGTCACAGTAGTAATCTGTTTGAATTACTTGCTCCCAGTACATTTTTTGACACACAAATGATTCAGCTTCCCAGAAAGGTCTGTCACGTGAGAGAGCAGAGCTTTCCTCTCTATTACGAAGGTCACTCTCTCTGACTATCCCTTGGCTCCCTTTAACACCATCCACCAAATGATCACTCATCTTTTCCATAATCAGTCCATTAGCACAGTTTCTTCCCCTCTCTCACAACTTACTTCCAGCTCTTTGTTCAACACCCTTATTTCTGCTGATGTTATTTAAGTTCTGGAGCTTCATCCTTTGACTCTCCTTCTGACACCTGCTTAGATCCCTAAAATCTTCCTGTGCTGCTGTCATTGCTTCATTCAAGAGACTCTCCTACTCCACTTCTGATGTACAAGGGGAGTCTCTAAATACATCCTCACTGCCACCCTTGAGGACAGTCGTGAAAGATTCATCCTGACTCAAGCAAGCTCCTCCACTTGCTCCACTTCTGCCTCTGGACCACTGGCATCCAAATGAATTGACCAGTCATGCAAAAATGTTTTCTGAGCACTGGGTTTTCTGACTGAGTGGCACATATCAAAATGCCAGTTAAGTCAGCTCTTCTCCCTTTCTTTGTGTGGAACAACTTGTGAAGACTGGGAGTATCACCCTGATTTTTTAAGATTTTCTAAAGCCTTCTGAGTTTACATTCTTGTAGAAAACTTTCTCACACGACTTTCTGTAAATAACCTATTGTTTTACATTCCTTCATAGAGGCGGAGAAATTTGATGTACTGGTAGTTTGTCCAGTGTCCTTGGAGAGGTGGTGTGTTCACCCTCCAATCCACTGTCACCTTTGGAAAAGTATAAATGTTGGAGTCAGAAATAAAACTTCCTCTTTGTTACCTTTACAATAGCAGCAGCTTGTGTCAGGCTTTCACAGGTTCTGTAGTGACACTGGGAGAGTCTGCAGCCCGTTCTGGCTGGGATGAGAAGGCCCAAGGATGATCCCCATATGGATTTCCTAGGAGAACAGAAGATGCTCCCCCCTCAATACTTGCTCTGCCAAACAACTTTTTCAGGGGCTACTGACCAACATGGGTACATGATCCAAACTGATGCAGATGGCCCCTGCTGCTGGCCAGGTTTGATTTTCTCCTTGCATCCAAGTTCTCTTCCACTTGCTCCAGTGGCCTTGATGAATGCAGCCAGCAGAAAATGATCTGTCTGGACCTTAGTGCAGCAGGAGTTCCCCAGTGAGGAAGAACTTTGTGGTTCTTGCAGAGAGAAGGCCTGAGGAACTGGTTCTAACAACAGAAAACTTTCCCAGATAATCTCCACGTAGAACTCTTCTGGCAGAAGCACCAGCCTTTTTCTGCAGCTGATATATCATGCACTGGTCATGTCTGCCCAGCCCAGAGCGGGGCAGGAGGGGCCCAGCCCAGCCATCCTCGAAGAACAGCAGCAGGCACAGGGCCTGGTGGGCACAAGGGCTGAGGAGCCACGAGATCATGTCTGCTCTCTGCCAGCACAGGGGCTGTCCTGGCTGTGCCAGTTCCAGCTGTCAGGAAGAACTCGCTACACACACTGGAACAGATCCCCCAGAGAGACTAAGGAATGTCCATCCCTGGAGACACTCAAGAACCACCTGGACACAATCCTGTGAGGTGCACTCTAGGATCACCCTGCTGGAGCAGGGAGGTGACACCAGATGACCCACTGTGGTCCCTTCCAAAGCAAGCCATTCTGTGATTCTGTAACAAGGTGGGTAACCTTGTCACAAAAGGAACCTGCAGGAGCTGGTGCTGTCTCAGGGCCCCACTGTACTCCCCCCCACCTCTTTTCCTGTACCTCTGAGCAGCCCCAGGAGCCCTAGTGCCCACAGGGGACTCCTGAGGATACCTGACTTCCCTCTGCCAGCCCATTAATCCCCACCTGCTGCCAGGCTCTCAAGCACCCACTTCTTTCCTTGGCACACACACAGGATGGGATTCCTCCTGGCACCCCCTTGGCATTGCAGGGGGCACCAGCCTTGCCAGCACTCCGTGCCTGACTGGTTCCCAGTGCCGGGGTGCAGCAATATCACCGGTGCCACAGCTCTGTCTGGCAGGGGCCACAGCAGGCAGGCAGGAGCAGAGGCAGCTTTTCCTGCCTCCTGTGTTTCTATCCCAGCAGAGGAGCTGCCCTGGCAGCCCCAGGTCCTGCCTGTAGCATCATCCCCAGCTGTGTCTATATCTCCCACACACAGAAGGTCCAAGCCAGGCTACTTCTCATGCAAGTCTATTAAAGCAGGCGTGCAGGTTAAGGTGGCTACCGCGGCACAGCAACAGGCTCTCGTTCCTGTGGAAGGCAGCCGGGTGCTGCTGCGTTACCCCATCCAGGACGGGCCGGGCACTGTCTCGTGGGGGTGTCTTCTGCATCGCCTTGGGAGCTGCCGTGCTCGCCTGTCCCAGGCAGGGCCGCGGGTCCCGGTGCTGTTACAGCGCCGGTAGGCGCGCTGGCCTGGCAGGAAGTCCTGCAGGAGCCGGTGCACAGCCCGGGGGTCGCCAGGGTCTGCTGCGGGCTCCCCGGGGTTGTGGCACAGGCCCCCGCATCGGGGGACGGGCACTGATCGGGGGCAGAACTATGTGGGGCCGAGCAGCCTGAGGCTGCCCACCCGGCTGACTGAGCTGTGGCAACCCCTGGCTCCCGGCCCCTGGGGGCCGCCAGGGCCTCCTGGGCGCTTCCCGGGGCGATGGCAACGTACCCAGGGGATGGCAATTGACCGGGGGCTGAGCTTCCTGGGTGTGAGCTGACTTAGGCTGAGCATCCTCAGCTTGCCCAACCAGGTGAAGGAGCCATGGCAGCTCCTGGCTCCTGGCAGAACCGCCCGGAGGTTGCCAGGGGCTCTTGGTTGCTCCCCGGGGCGGTGGCACAGGCCCCCTATCCAGGCGACAGCCGGTGATCACTGGCAAGACTGTATGGGGAAGAGCTTCCTGGGGCTGAGCTTCCTTGGGCTGCCCCACCACCAGGTGAAGGAGCCATGGCAACTCCTGGACTTCAGCAGAGGAGCCTGGGGGTTGCCAGGGGCTCCTGAGGGCTCCCTGGGTTGGTGGTCCAGGCACTCTATCCATGGGACAGCTACTGATCCGGGGCTGAGCTTCCTCAGGCTGCCCTACCAGGTGAAGGAGCCATGGCAGCTCCTGGCTCCCAGCAGAGCAGTCCAGGGGCTGTAGCAGTTCTGGAGGGTCAGACTCGGGTAGGCAGCAGCTGCTCTGCGGTCCCCCAGGAGGCAGCTTTTCCTGTGCCTTTCTGGACCAGGGGTCCTTGGTGGCTGTGTCCCCTGAGGGTGCAGGGAGCTGGGGAGTACTGAGTACAGTGGTGGAGGGCTTGTCCTGGGATCGACGCTTTGCCAGCTGGGGCTTCTTCAGGGCACAGCCCGTGACCATCAGCTTCAGCCCCACAGTCAGATATGAGGACACGGCTGCCTGCAGGAGGACACAAGGGGCAGCAGGGGTTTGGTGTGCCTGGGCTGTGGTTGTCCCCAACCCCCAGCCTACCTCCCTGTAAAGGAGCTCAAAGGCACCAATGGAACAGGTGGGGTTGTCTTTGCGGTCGAGCACGAGGCGCAGCGTGTCCCTCTGAACGTTGGCACACAGCTGGCGCGTCACCACTGAGGAGGGACTCATGGTGGGGCAGGAGTTGATTTCCAGCAGCCAGGGCTGGAAGTCCTCCGCAATGAGAAAGTCGGCTCCGAAGAGCTCAAAGCTGCCCTTGCGGGAGCCCACCTGGTCCCGGGTGCAACACAGGGCGTTCAGGATCGCTGCCTTCATGCCGGGCACCATCACCTGCTGCCAAGCATTTGCCTGCCCCAGCTGTGCCAGGTGGGCCTGGAACTGCTTGTTGGACCAGATCTTGTCGGGGGGCACACGGGAGTCCGGCTGTGATGTTTTGTATCGCTTCTGGACGGAGACATTGCAGAGGTGCCTAGCACTGGGGCAGGGAGAGCGGGGCTGGGTCAGGGGATGCCGGGGGCTGGACAGTGCGAGCTGGGGGTGAGGGGGCGACACTCACGGCTCCAGGTGACACAGGGAGAAGGGTTGGGAGCAGAAGCGCAGGTAGCAGTCTCGGTAGAACCAGACAGTCAGTGGTTTCCAGTCAGTCACCAGGAACCACTGCCGGATATCGAATTTGGTGCTGAAGATGGTCAGTGGCCGTTCCACGTACTTCTGCACCACCCACTTGCACGTCCGCGCCGGAGGTCCCGTGCAGCTCTGCGCCAGCTCCAGCACCTCCTCCAGCCGCGTCGTGCAGATGATGCCTGGGCAACACAGTGATGGTGGGATCCCCTCTCCGTGGGGATATGTGTGCCTCATGCTTCCCCCAGCCTTACCCCTGCCACGGGATTTGGCGCTGGGCTTGACGATCCAGACGTTGAGGTTGCCCTCTATGCCGAACTGTGGCAGCTTCTCCTCCAGGCGCTGCAGCAGGTCCTGGCACCGCTCCTGCTGCTCCCTGCCCAGCACCAGCCTGGTACCCTCACTGTGGGGGGACACGGGGGGCTCAGCACCAGCCCCGCCACCATCCCCCCTGCCCCCATCTTACTGAGCACCCACTGTGCCACACGGTAGCATTCCGGAAGGAAGCGGTCCCAGTCGATGCACGTGCGGCAGGGTGATGGGGTCTTCCTGTCGATGTCCTGGTGCCCCAGGATGCCCAGGTGCTGCTCACAGACCTCCAGGGCCTCCTCCACCAGCTGGGGATACAGGGGGGAGCACGGTTCTGCTGTGGACAGCATGGGGTGAGAGACAGGACTCCTACACCAGCCTTGGGGCAGAAGCACTGAGCCTTCCTGTGGGACAGGTTCCTTTGGAGCTAGGGCAGGGGATGGAGTAAGGGATCCCAAGCCACAGACATGAACAGAGGCTCAGCCTTCAAGCTCAGCCCTCAGACATGCCCTGATCTCCCTGTTTCATCTCTTGCCTCTGCCCTGCCCAGCCAGCTCTGTGCACTCACCTGGCACCTTGTCAGATTCTGGGAGTTGCTCTGTCCCCACTGGCCTGTCTCTGACCTTCTGCAGGGCCAGTTTGAGCAGGCTGCGAGCTGCTGTCAGGTGGAAATCCTCTGAAAGAGGGAAGAATCATCCCTAGCCAGTCTTGCACAGGACATGGGAAGACTGGAGCCCGAGGGGTGACAGGGGGCAGCAACCCCAGGCTCACCGATGAAGGCTTCCTGCTCATCCATGATCCCCAGCCGGTAGCATCGGGGGAAAAAGGTATTGAAGTCGACTTGCTCAAACCAGGGCAAGTTTTGCAGATTTTGGCACAGCCCCTCCTGTTTAGAGAAGCTTGTCATTCCCTTCTGGACACCCCCACCCCTTGTGTCCTCTCCCTGAGGCCCTGGGCTCCCACCTTGGTGCAAAGCGCAGACAGACGGGGATAGCGGTTCACCACCTCAATCCTCCGCAACAGCTCCTGGTCAGTGTTGCTAAGGCGAATGGTCCAGAGGAAGTTTGGCACCTGGTCCTGCACCAGGAAGGACTGCAGGAGGGAGTGGGACGGGGTGAGCCAGGGAGCCCCACTCCTGCCCCAAGCTATGTCCTGCCCCTGAGGGTCCCAAGGGAAGGACATGGGGAGCTGTGACAGAGCTCAGCCCTAGCCCTCTTAGCTAACCATAAGGTCATGGATGTCATCAGAGTCCTCATTGCACTGCTCCATGTCTTCCTTCTTGTCTTCATCTTCCCTTTGCCCCTTCTTCTCCTTATCGTGTGGGTGGTGCAGGGGCTTTGCGGTGCCCAAGGAAGGCTGTGCCCCACCACGTGGGCTCAGCACTGCCTCCCCCTGCTCATGACCGCCACCACTTGCCTTCTTCTCCAGCTGCTGTTTGCTTCGGTCACCAGGCTGCTGCTTCAGCTGCCTGCCATTACAGGGCAGCTTCCTCTCCACCCAGCCCCGGGCGCGCAGCAGCCGGCGGATGACGGGGTAAGGGCCCTGCACTGCAAAGATCTTCTTCTCCTGCGGGACAGCAGCCAGTTCAGCCTGCCCACCCCCATGCTCTGGCTTGGCTCTCCTGAGCCACAGGCGCACAAAAGCAAGTATGTGCCATCTCGGGGCAGTGTGAAATCGAACCCCTTACCTTAATGGCCTTTTCCACATGCAGCCTGGCCTTCCTGAGCCGCTCAGACTCAGCTGCATACTGGCAGCCATCATGGTAGCCGATGTTGGCAGCTGCCTCCTGCCCTGTGAGGACAGCCCCACCTGAGCCCACTGTCCCCATGTCCCCACATCCCCATGTCTGAGGCCCACAGGCTGGCCAGATAGGGAGAGAACATGCTGACCTGTCTGCCTCTGCCTCACCAAGTCTGGGAATCCTGCCATGGCATTCCCTGGCCTGCCAAGCCTTCTGCCAGCATCCCAACTGCACTGCACAGCCTCAGGATGCCCCACTGTTTGTTCCCTTGTCCTTGGCCTGCTGGGCCAGGGGCAGCTGGGATGTCACCTGCTCAAGTATTGCCCCTGGCTGAGGGGCTGCTTTGTATCACACTGTCCCAGGCTAGTCTGATGGTGAGGGGAGCTGTGGGTGGCTCTGCCTCCTCCAGGCCAAGCAGGTTTTCCTATCCCTCCATCCCTTAGGGACTCCGGTGTCCTGCACAAAACATGACCTCCTTATTTCATCACCACTATGATGCCACAATGCAGGATGCTCAAAGCAGCCTCAATACACAGGCCCTGGTTCTCCCCTATTATGAGGGACTTTAACCACCCTGACACCTGGAGAGGCAATACAACAAAGTACAGACAGACCAGGAGGTTCTTGGAAAGCTTTGATGATCCCTTCCTGACACAGGTAGTAGAGGATTCCACAAGGAACAGTGTGCTGCTCAACCTTGTACTAAGAACTAGGAAAAGCCTCATTGGACATGTGAAGGCTGTGAACTATCCTAGGTAATCTCCATGACAGATCTCTGCCAGAAACACAGTTTTAACTTACAGTATTATTTCTGACTGCTGCTTGGTTTTATTTTGATGGCTACTGTTCAGCCAATTGCCCCTTTGCTTCTCCTTCTTTCAGAGATGCAGTTTCATTTACAATTGTTCATGGGCTCCTTGCCCATGCTGCCTTCTATGACTTAACTGCAGCTCTACTATTTTTGTTATTTACAATCATCTACAGCCAGCAGAAGTTTTATGCTGGCAGATAAAAATCACACACTGGTCATTCAGTGTGGTTTCACTCTGATTGCCCCTGAGGGATCTGTTAACAAGAACCTCAGTTACCCAGTTGCAGAGGTGGGTCACAATGTTAAACTGCCATCACAGACAGGCACCCTTGGCTCTGGTGGAGTGGTTGGTGGGGTCCAGACCTACTGGAACGTTCTTCTCCAGGAGAAGTCAGGACAAACCTCAGACGGTCATTTTTGGTGAAAGCTTTGCAGCTCTCAGGAATGCTCACAGGGAGCTGCTAAACCAGAAGTGGTTCAGAGGGAATGGGACATGAATCAGTTGCTTCAATTGGTCCTTCAGGAGGTTATAAAGCAAGATAAATCTCTTAGAAAGAAGATAGAGGCAAAAAATTTGGAACAATGGATGTGATGTCAATTTTGGATGCCCCAGAACAGTGTTTGTTAAGAACCCCCTCTGGCAAATTGGAAAAGCTTAGGAAAAATTTCCTGGAGGATAAAGAGATACATATTCAGGTTGGACATTAGGAGGAATTTCTTAATAGGAAGGGTTAATATTGGAATGGACTCCTCAGGGAGGTGGTGAAGTCACTGTCCCTGGATGTGTTTAAGGAAAGACTTGATGTGGCACTCCGTGCCGTGGTCTGGGTGACACAGTGGTCAAAGGTTGGACTCAATAATCTAAGTGGCTGGAACTCTGCAGTGCAGGTCTCCATCAGCACCCCTTATGAGACCCCCCCTTTCATCTGAGAGACAACAACAGCCTGTGGGAGACATGGCAAATGGATTACAGATTATTATATCAAGATTATTATCCTTTCAGAAAATCAGAAGGAAAACAATATGAGCCTGCTGGGGTGGAAGGAGTTTCAGGTCTCACATGCACTTTGGCAAATGAATGGGAGAACATTAAAGAAGTACACTAGGCACTGTGATAGTCCTGGCTGTAAATTCTGAACTCTCTATTGCCTCTACAGACAACTCAGAACATTGCTGACTTAGCTAATTACTGAATGCTATCTTCATATCTATATATTTAAAGTAGAAGGGTAATGTATCTTCCAAGAAGAAGTTTTGTGTTGGGGTGAAGAAAGCCTTATAAAGCCACACCTTTACCAAGGACGTCTGTGTCACAACAGTGGCTATTCCAGGAAGTATACTGAGCCAGCTCCAAGACTTAGAATCACATGAAGATAAATATTTTTTGAGACTAAGCCCTCAACAGAAGACTATGTGTAAGCAACCTAATCTATAGAGGAAAAATGTGACATGATTTTCTTTTATGGTAACTGAGATATATTTACTGAGCACTGCATGATTCCTTTAGCCTTTTACATCTTTGTCTTCTCAAAACTTGTGCTGAAGTAGCTTTTTCCAGGTGCTGTGCTTATTTCTTAAATTTCCTATTGAAGAGGGTTGTAAAATCTTCCATGTGCCCACAAAGAGCAGCACGTTCACAGAGCAATTCTCGCTTTTCTGCAAGCTCCATTGCTGTGGCATCAGGGCTCCATATCTACAAAATACAGGTATGTGTAGTTAATTTGAATGGGCCTTTTGCAACAGAAGCACTTAGAAGATACTGTTAGCCAAAGAGAGACATGTTCTAGCACTCCTTTCCACTATGAGACATAGAAAAGAAGCAGTGTTGCCTCCCAGCAGAGCAGAGGTCAACAATTTGTGTGTGTATAAACAGCGCATTCTCTTGTTGTCACTTCCAATCTATATCACGCCATGGACTCCGATTACAGATAATGTGGGAAAGAAGATCTTAAGGTAATTATTTAAAATTACTGACTCAGCCTCATGATCCTCAGAGTGGAAAATAGTAATTAGCTGTAGAGTCATCAGCTATGTAGCCTCAGTCTTCTGAGACCATTGTAGAAACTAGCATAAATCAGGGTTAGGGAGACGATAAAGAAACTCCAAACACATCTGTTCAGCCAGCAGTGGTGTTATTTTCCTTTTTAAGGAGAAAAAAATATTACCTCACTTTAATTATGTTGTTCTGTTTCTCAGTTATTTCTAAGCATGTGTTAACAAGACCCTGACAGAAAAGTTGTATTTCCACTATTCCAACTCTAGGTAGGAAATATTTAGTGTGCTGTGGTCCATCTAGTTCAGTAACTGTCACTGAAAAAAGTCATCATGTGATAACTAATCAACAGGGCAAGTTAGAAGTTGGTGCCCATCCTATGCAAATAGACTCCTATCTTTTAAAAGCAGGAGTATAAAAATATGTGTAATAAATGTAATTTCATTTTTAGTTTACTGTGGCTGCACTTTAATCCAATTTTAAAATCTGGTAAGAGCTTGATTTCCACAAATATTTGTTTATATATATATATATTTGTGTTATTATATAATACACATCCATGAACTCTTTAACGTATTCTTGTTTGGTGGCAACCTCTCCAAGCTGTGTCCCATCATTTCTAAGCTAGTTGAATGGTGGAAATGTCATTGGATTGTTCTGGGTTTTGATCTCAGCAAGGTCTACCTTTAAGTTACCATGGAACTGCACTCATGTTTTGCTGCTGTGTACGTACTTTTCTGGGTCTGAAGGAGATGTCATTTTTATTTTCTCTTGTGGCCAAAGATTTCCAATAAGCAGAACTGTCCTTACGGGAACGCTTTGTCTTTTCAGGAACAGGTTCTTCCTCAGATGGCTGAGATCCATCTGGAGACTGAAGGGGAAGAAGGTACCAATTATACCAATACATCATGTTCAGAAGCAAGGCATGCATCCTGCATCTTCTGATACTCTGCTACAATGTTTGCTGGGAGAGTATTTTTCTTAATCTCTTTAGAATCTGTTTCTCTCAAAGTTGATATTTTAAAATCAACAATTGCAAGAGCCAACCTTTTGAAAGGTAAAAGGCACCTCTCCTCCTTGGGCACTAAAACACTAACTCCTCTTTATGACTCCCAAGACAGTCACCTTGTACCACTGATGAACACATCCTCTTCCAAGTGAGGAATAAACAAACACCTAAGGCTGTCATCCTCCTGCCTCTGAAGGTCCTCTGCTGTCCCTGCCACTCAAAACCTTTGTGCAAGGGGGATGCCAACATTTAGCTACTGGGACATACTTACTGCACTGCCCAGGGCAGCTGAAGAACACCTCCAGCTATGCAGATACAATTGTATCTCCTCCCTAAATAGCATCGTGGATGTGACTAAAAGTACCACTGGTGAATCAGGAAGGTCTCATCCACAATAGGAGAACCTGGATCTGGTCACCAAGGCTGGTGCCAGCTTGGGAATCAGGCAATGCTGAGGTGCTCAAGACTCCCAGAGGGTGCAGGAAAAGCATTTAGAAGTAAAACAGGAAAACATCAGTGTGAGATTTGAGAAACAGGACTCAAGGTAAATAGTGGAAGAGGGAGGATATTGGACAAGATAGAAAATAGGAAGTTAGCAAGCCTGGTATTGTCTCAGGGAGTTCAACTAGGACAATAAAAAAACTTTTAACCAGTTTGAAAGGTATTGCTCTTGTGAAAAAAGAGGTTCTTCCTTTAAGAAATTATGGTTACCAGATGTTTAGTATTTACCATAACAGACCTGGATGAGCACACACTTCAGGAGGAGGGAAAAAGAAATAATTTTTCTGTGTCCTGTCAGTGATACAGGACATCATTCTGATGTGTGTCTGGGGAAGACATGAAGTTTGTATAATTAACAAGACAAATTTCAACCAATAAACAAGTTCTAATACTCACAAGAACAAGTACGGGCATCTGAAAAGACTCGCTTTAATAGACCTGCCTGAGTTACAGCGTTAGAGAGAAATGGGTGGCAAAGAAAGGAAATAAAGAAGCTCTCTGCTAACTGTTAGCAAATCAGTCCTTTGTTACCATCTCTCATACCTCTTTTTTCACAGGCTTCGGTGGCTCTGCTGGTTTTGGCTTCCCACCTTTTGCTGGCTTTGCTTCTTCTTTTTCTTGTTCTTCTGCCAAAATTTGAAGTTGATTTTCGAGCAGTTCAATTATTGTAGCATCTTCAAATACTTGAGCAAGATCAAGAACACTCTTTCCTGTATTTTAAAAAATAAATATCTGTGTAAACAATGAAAATTAACTCTGGCACTGGGTTATTGCAACTGGACAATCAACTGAATTTAATAGGGCCAGTATTTTATTACCCATCCCCATGTGCCAGCAGCGTGCCTGACATTGGTGTGAGGACCAGCAGTCATCAGCACTGCTTGCAGAAATAAGACCTGGCAGAAATGAGCCTTGAAACTCATTTTCCAGAAATATTGCAGGAATTCTTGTATTGCTTGCTTTGTTCTTAATGTTCTGCCATTTGCAGCTTAATACATTGGTCCTGCAGGTTGTCATTTTGATCTCTGAGAGTTGAGAGCATTTAGCACTAGGAGATGGTCTGCATTCATAATCTTGTACTGTGCTGCCCATCTCCTTCTGCCTGTGCTTGCTCTGTGGCTGGCAAGGGAAAGCCCCCTGATGGAAACAAACAGCTTCAGTGCTTAGTAAAGGAAAAAAATCTGTCCTGGTTCTTATGAGACTCTGGCTGTAAAGTATCTGTGAGACTGAACTGCTGTGCGAATCAGAACTCCACACGATTTAAGAAATAAGGAATACGCATCCCTTATACAAGCAGGGTTTCACTACTAGGCATTTTGTAAAGGAAAGTCTCATAGTGTAGCAATGTTCCTTCCTATGTTAGAGCAAGAGCTTGAAAGGTGATGCATGTGACCTTTTAAATTACTCTGGAGACAGTGGAAATAATGCTGAAGGAGGGATCTGCTGTGAGGAGGTAACACTTCAGTACCAGCTCAGATTTGGTTTTCTGTTTATTTTTTTTCTCAGGAGTTATATCTACATATAGAGCAGCAAGGAAGTTTTTTAACCAGGGCTGCCTGTGCCTAAAAATATATCACTTAAATGAGTGGCAGACTATACTCTGGGCCACAACAGAAATCTAATTTTCCCTCAAATAATAATAACTAGATAGAATGTTTTAATTAAAGCCACTTATAACTCTGTATGTATCTTGTGAAGAGTAACAGTCTTCTGAATTGAGTAATTAATTATGTTACTTCATTTTCTAGCTATGCAAAGCCCAAGAAAGCATTATTTTCAATAATGATTCCAGACTGGAGTAAACTAACTGAACCTGTTACCTTCATCCCAATCCTGACAGCAACACTAAACGCAGAACAGTTCTCAAAGTGCTCCAGCTGTTTTTAATAAAGAAACAGCCTGTTTTGGAAGCATTGCTATTTACCATTGCTGTTTATAGCTTGGACATCAGCACCTGTAGTGATTAAGAAATAGACCATGTCCAGCCTGCAGGCCTCAATGGCTCTCATCAGCGGGGTGGCACCGCCTATTGCAGGGGCATTCACGGCTGCTCCAGCCTTCACCAGCACCTTGGCGATATCCAGGTGTCCATTATAGCAGGCATGATGCAGAGGAGTCCACAGGAAGTTGTCTGTTGCATTTACATCAGCCCTGCACAGGGTAAGAGTGGCTGTGGCAGCTGAAGCTGTTGAGTATCCACAGTAACAGCCCCAGCTCCAAGCGCAGTCAGCTGGAACTGCCTACTGCAATGGCATATTCAATGTAAATAGCTATTTTCATATTGCTATTCTGAACCCATTTGAGTCCCTGAACTTGTCATGGAATAGTAATTGTAAGTGTGCCTGGGTGCTGCTCATGTCCCCTCCTAAGCCATGAGTTTTCTTTACATGGAGCTTTTCATGGGTACAGGAAAAAACCCAGGCATTCAAACACCTTAGCCCTGTAAAAGGCTGCTAGTGTTTGTGCTCCGACTTCACTGAGAATGGCAGAAAGCAGATTAAGGAACTCAAAAAGTTCACTTCTGGGCCAAGAACAGTGCTACAGGACATGTGGCAACACTGCAGAGCTCGCCTGCACAAGGGGGAAGCGTTCATCTTTCCTTTTATTGTTGCTGCCTCCTGCCTGCTTCATTTCTCTGCATTGGCCACTCCCTTCCACAAATGAGTTACAGAAGGTCTGCCTTGGAAACCTGAGCATCAAAAAACTATTCAGCTACTGTGCTGCTGGGCTAAGATCTGTTTCTGCTCCCAAATTAAAACTGGGATGCTCTGGAGAAAGCAAGGGCTAGTTCAGGGGAGATCCTTGCAATAGGCTGCCTTTGAATGAGAGGAAAAGCATTATCAGCCCTAGAGGTCCTGAAGGGAGGTAGGGACACTGTCCCACTTACTTGGTGGACAAAAAGCTGCTGTCTTCCCAAAAGACAAGTAGGAAGGGAGAAAGAAGAAAAATTATGAAGGAAGCTGCTTCCAGAGATAGTTGTTTGCTCTTCAGGTCAGATGATTTTCTAAATAAAACTACAGATTCATCTCTTCTTCTTTCCTTCTTTAAATTTTTAATCTTTTTCAAAATTTTAAATTTGATGAGATCTTAGCACAGTAAATTCCCTCAAACTACCACATTTATCTGTCTTATCTGTCAGTCACTAAGCTGTTATGTTTTATTTGTATGCAGTTTTTATTTGTTTTAATTCTCATTAAAATAAGCTCCTTTCGTTGTTTCACTTTCTCTCTCAAATCAACCTCTTTGCTAACACTCACACTCTCTCTGCCCCTGAACCCTTCTTCCTAACTTCATCCTATGAAAAATAAACTAATCAATGGGAACAGGGACAATGCAGCACTGATTTAAAAATTCCTCTGTACTTTCTGCCCATCAAGCACAGCATTTCCCATCAAACCAAATTTCATTTACTTCTAATTCTTTCTGGAGGAAGATAGAAAGTAGATACCACCAATTTAATTTTAAACATAATAAATGTTAACAATTTATCTAGATAAATGTTTTGTTTTGTATTCAATATGGATTTGTGTTTTTTTTACTGAAAAGGTTATATTGTAAAAGGTATTTGAATGCCCATGCTAAACTGCAAACCCATGATACTGAGACATGCAAATCTAAATGCAATGGACAACTTTCCTCTCCATTTCCATTCCTGTCAATTGAAAAAATCTTAAAACTGGTACTATTTTTTCAAGCTAAGTTACTGTTTCTAAGTCTTATTGTTAAATATTGTTGTGACTCCAGTGCTTCTATGGAGGCTTGCCAAAAGGAGTAGAGATTAATCTGGTGGATTAATTTGGTAGCTCCTACATCTTTATCTTCAGAAAACCTGGATATACACATTACCCAATTTTCCATATGCTCTAGGAATTTCAGTGTAATTACCAGGGTGTGGAAAGATCCATGTGCTGTTAGTCTTTGCAGGAACCAGAGCAATGACTACAGCCCCTTTCCCTGAGATATTAACATGAATTCTATCTATGTATAGGAAAGAGAACAGAGTTAACATAAATATCTTTGAAAAATGTTAATTTAAGCATTTATGTGAAGGACTGCAGGACCACAGCAGTCTGACAATAAGAGATTATGTTATTACACAAGTATGACTAAATCTTTATGAAATTGCTTTCATTTTTAAGCTGTCATTTAGATTTTTCACAAGTGTGTCTGCAGGCTACAGAATTGCTGAAGCACTTCTAAAATGAGGAGCAGGCTAATTAGTAGCAAGGGCTTCTGATGTAAATCCTGCTGTTTCAGCCTGCCTCAGCTGCAGAGGAAAGTGAAGGTTTAAACCAGGCACGTGGAACCAGAAAGCCCAGGATCACCTCGATGATTTCAGGCAAGTCCTGCAAGTCAGATTTCCCCAAAATCATTTCCCAGTTTTGAGAGGATGCACTACTTGAGATACGGGTTTGAACTCTGCTGATGACTAAATGTCAACAGCCCAGACACCACAAATTTCAGACCTGGGGAACTTGTTTCTTGGTTGCTTTCATTTCCATGCTACTAAAATACGAAAAATACTAAACTTAGGCCCTGTGACTTGAGATCCTAGGGAACTAACTTTAATATTAAATGTTAAGTAAGCAAAAAACAAACCATAGTTTTTTGCATCCAAATATTTACTGGATATTTATGCTTTTGAAAGCCTTCCCAAAATAGCAATTAAATTGAAATGATCTTACCCCTTTTCCAGAAGAAATTCCACAAGAACTATGTTGCCACTTGCACATGCAACCATCAAAGGTGTTTTGTAATATTTATCTTTTATGTCTACTGGCACAGCCTCGTCGAAGGCTTTCTGCAGAGACACAAAGTCTCCTTCTCTGACCAGGTAGTTGATATCCATGAGGGTTTTCCTTGGCTCCTCTACGTACCAGGCACGGTCATCAAGCACAGGATGGGCGGATTGGAGGGCCCGTTTGAAACGCTGCTCTTCAGAAATGTTTGGGACAGCCTCAACCATGTAGGTAGGGAAGCCATCTTCCCTAAGTGGACGTTCACTCTTTGGGATTACACAGATTGGCACAGGGAGGCCTTTTTTGCCTTTTTTTTTCTGTGGTTTCTTCTTCTTCTTTGCTTTGGGCCCAAAGGATGATAGCAGAAAGGTTTTCTGCAAATATTTAGAGCCTTTAAAAAAATCATCAAGGCTGATCCTGTCAGTAGATACTTCATGCTTTTTAGTAAGAATTTCTATTTGTTCCTCATCCACACTGCCCCACTGCTTCCGAATGACTGACATAAAATCATTTCTGGATACCATCCCATCTCCTTCTTCATCAATCTCAAATTCCTTGCGGATGGCATCCTCATGCTGCAAGGACCAGTCGTACACCTTCAGGTACCAGGCAAGGATCTCATCTGGTTTTTTAAAGGCTTTTTCAGCTTTGCGCAATACTGCTGCTGCTGCTTTAAACCCACCACTCTTGGCAACCTCCCTTGGGGTCAGATTTGCCAGGTTTGACCATGTAGGATCACAGCCTAGAAATATGGACACAGTTTGGCTAATACTGCAGTGGAATTACTAATTATGTAATATAAGAAACTTAAAATACACAGACAACTCATTGACACAGGCCTACAACTTTCTATACATAGCAGTGGTAGGTAGAACCACATCATTGATCCCAGGCTGGAAGGTCAGCCACATGTCCATATTTTTTTCCCAAAGGGCGAAGCATTGAGCAACCCATGCTCTGTTTATTTATCCACTCATGAATATGTATAAAAAAAGTTCAATGGAAACTTGACATTTTACTTGAAGTGGTGAGCAAGGTTAAGAAGCAAAGTAATATTAAAATGTCATTTATTTCTGTACCCCAAATTGGCAATGGATCACTAGTTTGATCCCAATAACAGAATGTGGGATTTTGCATGGTCCTCTTGGATCAAAGCTTGAAGTGCCATAATCATCTGATCAAGTCAGGAAAGGATCTGCTTCAGGGCATGTTTCAATATCCATGGGCATGAAGTTTTCCTCATGACTGTACAGAGATTTTTTTAAGTAATCATCAAATCAAACATTCATTTTCTATTGGAAGTTTCAATACAATACATCTAAACCCAACTAAACCTGGAAGCACTTAATACTGTCCAACACTAAGTTATACAAACCCCTGGTGTCTCTGCTGCTTTCTTTGAGAAATGTTTTGTCATCCACATAAGAGCCTCTGTTAGCCCCTTCTGAGGGAGAATTTTGCCACAGGGTACCCAAGGGTCAAATCCTTCAAAGACACCCAAATGAAATCTTTCCTTTAGCACAGAATTAGAATACAGATAATAGCTGTGAAGTAATTTAGTTTTAATGTACCTCTTTGTCCTATATACCTGCAGCAATCTGTAAATCCTCCCTCTGCAGCGTAATGAAGTGGTGTGTTACCATTCATAGCAATCAGTTTCAAGTCTGCACCATAACCTGAAATAATCGCCAGAATCTAGAAAAACAAACAGAGTCCCACCAAAAATCTTGTCTGTTCTTAACATGTGAAAATGTGAGATGGATTTACAAATCAATGCAGTATCTTACATTCCCATTCTAATAGTGAAGTTCTCTCCCATGTCCAGCTGGTTAATGCATATATAACATTAATGTTTTCTATAGTACTATGCTTATTTAACTGATGAAATAGAAACCTTGTGTTGTTTCAGACACCAAGGATAATCTTCTTGTTAACTCACTGTGAGCCCCTATCTGGCCTATCACTGCTGGAATCCCTTTGATACTTAAAAAGAATCTGTTTTTGATTACTGATCATTATGCTTTGATCAGCTGAGATAATAGACTCAAAAAAACCCCAACAAAAACACACTCCAAAAACCCAAATCAAGACCCTGTTACAACAAAAAACCTGCCCAGCTTTGGCTTTGCAGCAATGCTTTAACACCACAAATGTTAATACCTCAAGAAAGCCTCCTTTGGCTGCAAAATGTGCAGCACTGTGTCTTTCAAAGTCGAACAGGTTCACGTCAGCTCCCCTCCGAAGCAGACCCAGCACCACCTCGACAGCACCTTCCCGTGCAGCTTCCATCACAGCTGTGCGGCCTGTGGCCTGCAGGGGAGCGAGAGAACAACTCCCAGTTCGTTCCGTGTGCCTTAAGGCTGCAGCAGTGGGACCTGGCTGCTCCAAGCTAGCATAAAACTGGAAATCTCCTTTCAGCTATTACTGTGAACAAACGAAAAGCCTATAGTTTCAAAGATACTTGCACGTAAGCTTTCAGAATCTACTCACAGTGCTGCTAAGAGAGAGCAGTCAGAGCCTAGCAACTCAAGTACATTGAAGGCTTGAGTCCATTGAATAATGCCCATGAAAATCAATTCTGTAGTTAAGGAATCCTGTATTCTGTGGGTATCTTCTCATGCATATTTACAACATCTAATGCAAAATACCACCTCAGTTTATGAAAGCAGGAGCATAACGGCCTATGGCTGGAGGAGTACTATCAGGAAGGCAAAACAACCAGGGAATTTCACTATGGTTCTGTGAGGAGAAGTTCACACTCCTATACATTAATGTTGTCTTTTCCTAGATAATAATGGATGTTTGCTTTGGATAACTCTAAAGGTAAGCCTGAGCTTCTTGATTTATCAACATCACAGAGCTTCAGTCTTTCAGGTCTTTGTTAAATTAAGGAAGCAAACAAATAAATGATTAAGACGTACAAAAGAGAAAAAAGTTTCTTATGCCTTGTTCCTGCCTTGATTGCTCATCTGATTTTCCCTAATGGACTTACCTTTTAGTGAATATTATTTCAACTCAGAAAATCTAAGGACACATCAAGGCAAATACAAATCAGCACTGCTCCACTGAAGTACAGTGAAGTGCATCTCCTAACAGCTTACTCAGTTACATCTAAGTTTGGGAAAGTTTGCACTCTAAACCTACAAAAATCGAAAAAAAATACTTAAATTTGTCTTCTCCAAAAAAAGGGTGGCACAGAAGAGGGAAAGGGGTATGGCTACTTAGTTAAGCAATTTTCACTGCTTTATTATTTTAATGAGAGGATTTAAGGTCATGTACTCTGCTCTATACTCCTGCATGTGTCCTTAGTTACAGAAATGATCATACCGGGTCTTTTGCATGGGGATCTGCTCCTTTCTCCAAGAAAATCAGGCACATTTCTTTAACCTCATGAGCTTGCTCACAGGCTTGTAGAAGCACAGACCTCCCAGTAGTGGTACAGTTGTTGACATCTGCACCATATTCCAAAGCAATTTGCAGGCAGTGGGAATGGCGTCCTGTAGGTGAAAGGCAGTAAAACAAAATACCTGCAAAGGAAACCAGTGGGGATTAGGGTGCAAAAGGAAATTACCTGTGAGCTTCACAGCTGACCAATCTACAACAGAGACCCCTTCACTGACGGTGTATCCACACAGAAAAGACTTCTACTTCAGAGACTTTACTTGAGGAGAAAACCAGAGCTCAGTATGTCACAGGCCATGGGAGGAATGTGAGTCTCAATTATAAGTTACCTCCCAGCTCTGTACTGGGGCGACTTAACGATTTAATGCCTAGACTCTTTGGAGAGAATTATTTTCATCAAAACTTTTATGGCCAACAGCTTCTGTTGGGCTGTAAGGATAACCTCATTCACTCAGAACCTTCAGAACCCACAGTTCCTCTCCACAGGTGGGACACATCACGCGTAGTAAGTGTGCCACAGAGTTAAGGGATTGCTTTATGGTACTTCCTTCTCACTCACCTTTCCCTTCATTATCCACAGCAGTCATGTCTGCATTAGCTTTTGCTAATAATTCCAAAATCACCTCATAACCTAGTTCAGCTGCCTTCATGGCTGGAGTGCGTCCCATGTTGTCGTGAACATTTGGATGAGCTCCATGTTCCAGCAGGAAGCGGCACATTTCAATGTCATTTTTCATGGAGGCCACGTGAAAGGCACTATATCCTTCCTTGGGCTCTGTGTAATTAATGAGATCTGGGAATCCTTTCTGGATCAGATTTTCTATTTGCTTCTTGTCTTTCTCATGAACACACTGAAGAAGTTTGTAGATCTGTAAGTTTAGAAGCCTTTTATCTACCGGTAGCCTCTCAGGATAGGGAAGATTGTCTTCTTCCAGGGAAGTACTTTCTGCATGGACAAAAAAGAAAATGTAATCTCACAGAGGAGATTATAATGACATGCCATTTAAAATCAGGAATCAGACCATATTCACAGCATGAAAATATCCACTTTACTTGGACAGAAAACTATGTTTTGAACTAATTTATCTTTTACTGTGGGCAGCACATATAGAGACCATATCAACCCAAGTGGCACCTTACAAAATTTTTCTTTCTAGTCATCCAACTGTTCTGAAGAGGTCTCATTCAAGGAGAAAATTAAGTTAAGAAGCTGTAGGGTAACTGCTTCCATTCAAGGAACTGTTATAATCTACAGTTACTTGGAAGCCTAAGGGGAGGCTGTTCATCTGTTATTTTCAACAGGGGAAAAAACACAAGACACCATGTCCTCTGCACTTGCTGAAACATAAAATTGATATTAAAATTTATACTAACAACACCTCATCAGTGCTTGAGAACACCTTCCTTCCCCCCCCCCACACCTTTTTTTTTTTGGCAGCTGATGCATGAACTTTCTGCTAGGCTATGAGGCTATGTACATAAAAGAGTAAGTCAAATTTCTCTGCAACAAAACTCTTGGAGAAAAAAATGTGCAGATAGCAGGGCACTGGTCTGGGAAAAGGTTCTTCCAGGTCACACATCACAAGCTTCTTGAAAAAAATCAGTGCAGAACTTTGCACTTGCCTCAATTCTACATTTTTTTTCAGTTTTTTTTTGGTTTTTTTTTTTTTAGGTTTTTAAGCTCTTTTAGCTAGTCTCAGCACTCATGGCTGGAGGGTCAGGAAGGGTCAGACATTGTAGGGACCATTTCTGAAGCTTTCCTAAGTGGATGGGAAGCTTCCTCTCAGCTTCAGCAAGCCTTGAGTCAGCGCGTCCTCCAGAACTCTTACAGGACATGCAACACAAAAAGATGAAGGAAAATCTGTTAGAGAATACTTGGGGATGGGTTCTTTTGTGTTTCTTACTTATTGCAGTGTAGTCTGTAAATGAGACCACTCAGCATCTGCCTGGCTGCTGCTGGGTGCTTTGTGGATGTCTGTGAGAAGAGGAGATTGCAGAGAGAGATGCAAAAGGATGCATGATTCCAACAGACTTTGTGAGGCAAGACCTCCCATTCTAGGAAGAAAGCCTGAGAGAAAATTGCCAGAAAAGTATAAAGATGACTGAAGGTGAATCATGTTGGGAATGGACAGAGAGGTAATTTTTGTACCACAGGTACAACTTGCCAGTTGTAGTTTCTATAGCTATTGCCTTTCATTTCTTTTGAAGTTCTGTGTCCAGCCTAGTTTTGGAACAGAGATTGGGTCAATCTGTTGGCAGATTTCTGAGAACTGTTCCTCTTGTTCCTTGCCAGACAAGGCCCTTGGCTCCTTCCCCATGCATCCAGCTATGCTGGGTGAAGGTGTTGTTATTAGAAGCTGCTCCCTTGCAGAAGTGTTTAAGTGGGTACTAAAACGCAAAGACTTTCTCTTTGCAATGAAATCTGGTCTGAATAGGTCAGCTGCTCTCAGATGTTCTCCATTTAAACATGGCATTACTTAAATTCTTTTCTGTTTAGGTCTTACATAACCCTTATTCTGATCATCAACAAGTATATTCTTACATCAAACAATTAAATCTTTAGGTAGCAATAACTTAAATCTGTCACCTGTGGCTTGTTTGTTCTCATCCCTACCATGTTGTGCCTCCTATGGCATTTTGTCCAGTGAAAGGGAATAAATGCAGAGATTTTTATCCTGCTGACAGGAGTTACACCTATAGCAACCCTGTAGTCCTAAAGCTTAGAGCTGAGAAATAAGGGTACTTCAGAGTAATGCCCTGCTAGAAGTGAACACTGGAGTCCCCACAGAGCCTGGCTTTTAGAGCCTGAAGCAATTTCTGAGCAAATCCTCAATGCAGGAAGTTTTCTTCTGGCTACTGAGTGCAGGGAAGAGTCATGATGCAAACTCTGCAGGGGTAGGAAGGTTCTGCAGGGAAGGCTCTTACAGTACTTACACCACTGAAATTCAGCAAAAGAAATGTTTTTAAAAATACTTAGATGGAACTGACAAGCTTAAATGTTATCTTATGCTTTTGTTCCACTTCCCACCATCCTGCAGCAGTAAGGAACTTGGGTTTACTTCCAAAAAACTTTCTTCCCACTGTTATTCATGATTTGCACCTGGATTTTGCGCAGCATTTTTCAGGAACTTATTTAGGATGAAAACTTGCTTGTTCTTCCTTTCTATCTCCCCCTGAAGCAGCAAACACCATAGAAGTGATATTCTCCTTGGACATAGGTTAATAATGCCACAAAATGAGTAGAACTCATGAACTAGCAATGAGCAGAACTGCACTAAAAACTTGTAACTAACCTTCAATGAACAAACATGAAAAAATAGATATAACATTCTATATATATGGATTTGGACTTATTTCATTGATTATCTTGGAGACTCCTTGAAATACTTGCTACCTATAACCTCTGCCCCACACTGGACATGAGACTGATGGCACACCTTATACTTACTGCACACTTTCAATTTTGCTCACAGTGTAATGCACAATTGAGTACCATTTTAGTCCTGATCAGATATTTCTGGTGCTTTTGAGCTGCTTATCACAGTATTATTTTAATATTTCACATGCAGCAGTAAAATTATTGCCATGAGCAGAAGTGAAATTATTTTTATCTCAATAGTGAAGTCTGTTGTTATCACAATTCAGCCACCACTGAGTCCTTACCCAGTTTTAAGTCTTTGCTTCAAAGCATTAAGACCCAACAATTTACACGAAAACAACCATAACATTTTAACTGCTGCAGTTATTATTTCTTTGCAGCATTTGTTGAAAGTGACTGGATCAAGTTTTATTAGAAGTTTCTAAAGTAACAGCATTAAAGAAAGACAGTTGGGATAAAAGAAACTCTAGCCAGGGTCATGTAAAGTAATAAGCAAGGGAAAAAGGCTTCTAAAATGAAAACTGTGGCATCTTGTCAATTTTCACTAAGTAAATACAACTAACACTATGTACTTCATAGATTTTTTTATCATTTCACCTATAACAGATAGTTTAATGGAAAATCAGGGTTAGTGTGGCTTTGAGACAGTCATGCTCTGGGGAGGGCTTTGTGAAGCCATAACCACAAATCCCAAGCCTGTAACGTTTACTTAACAACAATTTTATCTGTTGACAAACATCAACAGACTCACTACCTTCATTCTGCCAGTTTGTGCCATTGTTCTGATGGAGAGCATGAACTCATTTCAAATCCAGATTAATCCTTTTCTCAGTACACCTGGCATTAAGAAAATCATTTCAGTTGGATTCCTGTTTTCCCACAAAGCTTTCCAAGATGTGATGGAGGTAGATTGATTAGAGAGGGAAGTTCCGGTGGCCAGTGATCTCATTCCCTGTCTCCCAGTCAAAGTCTGCTGCCTGACTGCTGATGAAAGCACTTGTGACTCCGCCTTAAAAGTTTGCAACGTTTGTCAGTTTCAACATTTCCAGTTGAAAACATCCCTTTAATTATCACTATTCACAAACCAGTAAACAAAATTTTCATATGTTTTATCTTTAGTGGGAGAAAATAGCTGAGCATTTCTAAATTCAGTCCCTTTGCACACTGGGCACAGAGATAAGCACAAGCCCTATATGCCAGTATAAAAGGAACCAATATGGTAACAGTGCCATGCTATATTTACAGCTTTATGTGAATAACTGCACTGGATTTTTGGCTGTGACTAATGTTTAATAGGAGTGATGCAGCAAAATCTTCCTAAAACTGAATTCCAATGTCATGAATAGCCTATAACACTGTGGTTTTTTTTTTGTGTTAATTCTCCAGTAATGCCTTGCCTTGGGGTGAGGCACAGCTGAACACGGTGATGGGCACTTAGGTCTGAACTGAGTGGGTTTCAATGTCGTGTGGAGATCTCAGCCCAAACCCAGTCCTTTGGGAAACAGGGCCCAGTCCTGAGTGCTGTTAAGGCAGTTCTGAGGTGATGGCTGCCTTGGATCAAAAGATGTGCATCTTTTTGTCTTCAGCTTGTCTTGCAACTTCCAGTCCACCTTAGTACCCATCGAAACTGGGATGCAATGGAGCCCAGTTTGCCAGCACCTGGCAATCAGCTTTGTGAGCAACACCTGCAGGGACAGGGGCTAGGGGGTGACTCCTCAGCCAGGAGCCCAGCTGGGCTCCAGGGAAGCCTCTGCAGTGCTGTGCAGTCGGGCATGAGGTGCTGCTGCGCCCAGGAACAAGCAGCAGGGGTTGGTTTATTTTCCCTGGACTGCCACTCAGAGGAACGGGCAGCCCGTAGAGGAGACTGGCTTTAACGGGAGAGAAACTGCTGGAAGGGAGGATGCTGGAGAGCCGGTGATGACCCAAACAGGGTTTCCCGCCAAGGACGCGCTGGTCTGGCCTTGCAGACACCCAGACTGAGGTAAATGCCAGCGGCGAGAGGTGCGGGCCGTGAGGGGAGCGATGTGCACCGCGTCCGTGCCCTGCGAGGCTGCGCTCCGCCCTCCCGGCCCGCCGGCTCTGCCCCAGCAGCGCCGCGGAGGGCGGCCCGACCCCGCCGCCCTCTCGCCGCCACGTCCGGCAGCGGCGGCGGCTGCGACCCTCGGCAGCCCGGGGCACTCACCTGAGGAGCAGGAGGACGCCGAGGGCTCGGGGGCCGCGGCCGGATCCCCGCTCGCCTCAGCGGCCGCCATCGCCGCCGTGGCCGTCTCCTTGGCGACGGCGGCGGGCCGGTGGCGGCCGCGAGGCGGCGCCGCTGCCCCAGCCGGCCGGGCCCCTGAGCGCCCTCTCGGCCCCGCGGCTCGGCGCGGCCCTGCGCCCCGCCGCCCTCCGAGCCACGCGGGTGAGGCGGGCGCTGCGGGAGGACTTGGGTGCCGTGGGCTCTCTCTTCTTTTAGCTGACTTACTCGCCAAGCCTCCTTTTCCTCCCCCATGGGAAGCAGCAATGCTGTGTGGTTGTTTCGGCTCCAGACTTTACTGGAGTTGCCACAAAAATGGAGTGGCGAGGTTCGCGTATCACCCAACTGCCCGGCCATTCCCCCAGGGTTTGTGTAGCACAATAATATAAATGAGCTTGGATGGAAATGGAATCGTTCACAGTCCGGACTGGACAGAGAAACCTGTATTAACAGGAGAAAAATATCAGTGAATGGGGGAAAACACTCAGAGCTTGTCAAGTGAAGCCTAAGTCATTCTAAAAGGCAATAGCATAACCCTGGGACTGCCCGAACTCTGTATCTCCTTTCCGTCCGTCTCCTTTAGTGCCGAATTCCCAAATGCCACAACCCAGCCCTCAGTGCTCCTGCCAGGCTCAGTAGTCATGTATGGAATAACTGCAGCAACACTGCCTGTCTTGTTCCTGGACAAGCCTAGGTGTTGAAATGTTTGCAAATCACCTCTAGCATTAGGAAAATTTTTTTAATTGTTTTTTGATGTGAAATATCTTCTGCCAGGAAAGTGGTGACACAGCTGGATGCATGTCCAACAGCATGGAAAGGCGTCTGGTGAAAGCCATGGGACTGTGTGGTGAGTTACAACAAGAGCAAACACTGTTTTAGCATAAAGTTTCATTATTTACCCTGCAAAGAGTGCATTTCCACAGCAATTTAGTGTTAGCACTCTGTGGTGCAAATTGGCTGGATTGGTAGTGTTGCACTGTCATGCCTTGGTGTATTGCTTTCCTTTTCAGAAAACATAGCATCCAGGCCCTTCTCTTTCTCCTTGTTTGCACTAAATGGTTGATGCAGACATGGCACATTAGAAGATGCTTCCCAGACTGTTCTGTGTAAGACTTTTGCTTTTGTTGTTGCCACAAATAAGGAGACACATGTCTTGGCCAAAGGCCTGGAGTAAATTCCCCTTTTTCACTTTGTTGAACAGTTACATTCCCATTAGAAAGGTTAGCACATATATTTTTAAATTTAGTCCAACATGGAAATAACTGAAGATCCTATCTGAAACATCTGCATGCCTTTTCTCTGGAAGTTGTGGAAGCACCGTAACTAGACTATAACCAGTCTGGTTACTTGGTATTTCACCCCAAAAATGAATTTGCATGTAACTGCATGTGTAGACGTTTAGATTTTTATGCTTGATTTATTTCCTCATGGTGATCAACTTTCCATGAACTTTTTGAGTGTGATAATGAGGATCCATGATGCAAGAAGCAGCTCAGCATCATACTGGATGGTTCAAAGCAATGTGGCTTCAAGAGCAGAGGTGCTGCTCTGGTATTAGGGTACTGCAACATCTCCAAAATAAATAGGATTGAAATCCCCTTAGAGAAATTCAGAGTATTCCCTGCCTATAGAGATAAATAAAGCTCACCAGAGAAAATTATTCCAAGGTCTGAAGCCTCAAGCTGCTGGGCTCCTTTTGGCTGACAGCTCAGTCTTGGAGGAGTGACAAGCTACTGCAGGAATGCAAGTGGGATGGTGCTGGTAAAAACATAACTGAGTGCCCTAAGGAAGGAAAGATGTGAACTGCCCAGAGCTTTGAGCATGCCCTGGAGCTCCCAGAGCTTTGAGCATACCCTCGAGCTCCCAGAGCCAAACCTGGGAGACCTGGCACAGCATAAATATGGGTACAGTGTCCACATGTTCTGGTACAGCCCCAGGTGTGCCACTGCCCGAGTCCTCACCTGAGGGCAGCGCTGCCCAGAGCTCTGATGTGCTGTGAGTTAGGGCAGCACTAACTTGAGGCTGCTCTGTCCTGGGTGCTTACAGGACAGAGCAGCTCCACTCCCTTCCCACGTGGGACATCTCTCACAGCCAGGAAGGAACTTCTGAGACAATCCAAGAGGTTCTCCACTGGCATCATGGTTCCCTGGATGAATGCTATCTGTGGAGCCCACAGCAGATAGGTTTTGCCCACTGTGTCTGATAATGAGATCACTACTAAATCACACCCAAATCAAGATTATTCCAAAGAACTTAGATTACTAAGGAGCATATGTTTCTGCCTTGTTTTATATACTCTTAAGCATTAACCTCAATTGTTCCTGCAACATACATTCTTCCCCATTATAGGTAAAGTGCCCATTACTGACACACTCGCTTTGCAGCTCCAAAATTATCTAATTACACATGAAAATGTTTCACTGCTGAACGGGTGCTTCCAAATATTCAAAATACAAAGGTTGGAAAGTTTTGTTTGGTGCCAGGCTGAGAGCACTACACAGTGTGTAGAATATAGGTTGTTCCTATTGGAACATGTAGAACAATCCGGTTGCCATCCTCTGTTCCACTTGCTGTCTCTGCATTGTGCTGGGTTTTCTCTGTGGATGTCAAAGCCCAAGGATGCTACAGCTGTCCCACAGCTGACTCTGGAGGGAGGCTGTGCACCACAAGCACTCTAGGGCTGGATGGCCCTGGAGTCCTGTTGACATCAGGGGCAGCTGAGCTGGTGACAGCCTGACTTCAGCTGCAAGGTGTGCTTGAGGATTGCCTGGTTTTTACTTAAGCCTTTTTACTGTGGAAGTAATTATCACTGCCATTCATCTCTCTGGATTCTGATGCTGCTGCAAAAAAAATCTGCTGTGTGGTGCATTCTACCCAAAATCTCCTTATTCAGACCTGGCAGCTTGGGAGAATGACACAAGTCTACACATTTGGCTAATTCTGAAGGTCATCTTGGGAGCTGTTGTGGGAGCATTGCTCCAGCTGTGCCCTCTCAAAGGAGGGAGGTAGTTTCCTCCTTGGAGACAGCCTTTGCTTCACGCAGCAGCACAGCCTTCTCAGAACTGTGCTGGCAGGTACCACCAAACTTCTCCTCTTGTATTTTCTGGGATCTGCTCTGTTTCTGGTTTTGATGCTGCTGTATAAAGCTGTTGGTATCACTCAGATCAATGTACAACTGATTAAACTGGTTTAGGTTTTTTCACTCTTCTATTTACTTTCTATAATTGCTTTGTCAAAAGCAACACTGATTCTTTCTACCAATTAATATGCAGTCTTAGTAATAGGCTTTTTCATCAAGGAGAAAATCCATGAAATAACTGTTAAGTCCATGATACTGTGTCCTTGGAGAAGAGACTTGGGAGGAAATCAGAGTCTCTTTTGGTGTGGCTGTTTTCAAGAGAAAAAAAATCCCAAAGTGTCAGCAAGGCTTGTAAAGACAAATAGTAACAAAAACTAAAGTGTTTTGCCAAGAAGTTCTCCATTGAATTCAGCTCAGATGAATACTACATAGAAAAACAGGCTCAGGAAAGTATCTGCAGCATGTTAGCTGGGTTTTGGGAGAGGAGTGTTTCAGGTATATGAGTAATGTCAACAGAGGTTAGGTTGTGGGATTTTGGGGGGGTTTTGTTTGTTTGTTTTTCTTTTATTTTTGTCACCTAATTTTTTCCTAAAACTGTTTCTTTTTTTGGATGTTGTAAATACAGACTTCTTGTATGCCCCTGCACTTCAACTTTACTTGAGGTAAAGGTGATTTCAGAGTTACTGAGGAAGAGGGAGGCACACCTCAGCCAGGGATGCAGCAAAGTAAAAAGGGATGGTGAGGCAGTCCAGCAAATCTGCAGCATGTGCTTCCCAGGTACCATATGGGCCAGGATACGGGCTGGGATCCCTAGAGTCAGGGGAGCTTTCCAGTGCCACAGAGCAGGGCAGGAGTTCACTGAAGAGCTGACAGCTCTAGGAGTCCCCAGGGTTCATCACTGACTTCATTAGCAAGGTTTGCCCAGTAAAACCTTCAGTTACTGATCCTGCAGCTTCTATACCCTATGGCACTTGTGGAGGAGGGAATGCTGCACCCCTTCCATCACCATTTCCTATCAGGGTCTCTTTTCTACTCAGCGCAGGGATTCTGAAATTATTTCTACCACTTATTTTCATGTTTACTTGTCTAACTCTGTGGCTTGGAACACATAGAACTCAGTGGGAGGATTCCAGATGACTTCAGTGGGATGTTCTGTTAATAACAAACTCTGACTCTCTTTATTAGCTCTTTATCTGTGGATCATAATATTAAAAACCTGAGGGGAAGAAATAAAGATGATAATTTTGTAGCGGGTTTTCAGTTAGCTTCCAAGCTGATGGTTAGATGGCTATGAAAATATAAACTGCTTTATTTGTCCCATCAGCTCTCACCCTGTCACTGTATCCTGTTTAAAATCCTATGCACTGCAAGTTCTCAGTTTTCAACGTGAACGAATAAGTGTTCTGGAGTCTATCTCATCTTATGTTACATGAGGCTACTGAAATATTGATCACATGCTTCACCCCATACCCAGCAAAAAAAGAATTTCCAGTTAGAAGTTATTGTGTGTCTGTGAGGGAGATCTGATGGTGCTGGCTCTCAGCAACTTAGTGCAGTAATTTTAGAAATGCAAACAGAAGGGAGACAGTGTAATGCAGTAGAGATCAGCACTTGTTCCCTGGGCCTGATGGAGAAACATCTGGGCTTCAAAGCTGCTTGTGGAATCCAGTGCTACTTACTGTGAGGAAGGGCAATCTGCACAAACAACAGCTAAGGGCATGAAAGCAGTGCTTCCAAAGCAATACAGAGCTGCTGAAATTCCTGAGGTCAAGCAGGGGGAACTCCTATACAAGAAATTGATTGGTTCAGTTGGAATAAGCCTCATTCCTGTTCCCTTGCTTGGCCTTGCTCAGTTGTGGTTAAATGAGGAGAGGGATGATAATCATCTGATTATCCTGCTATTGACAGTCTGTGGAACAGTTGGGAGCTCAGGCTTGTCCTCTTGCCAATGCCAGCGCCAGG